GGACGTTCGAGTGGTTGGGAAGTCGACGGCCCCGAGCACTGGCTTGAGTAGAACACGAACTAACTCTATCCCTACCTTCTCTACCCTTTTTATTGCCCTCTACATCAAAGGTAAATCGGCGCTGATCCGCTGGCCTCCCGTCTAATCAAGTGTCTCGGATTTCCCGTCACTCTCCCCGGACCGGTGCTCTCTCAGACGTCCGCTTTTCACCCTCTAAACAAGCGCAGCTGTCCTACCAATCAGAGGACCGGCCCTGTTTTTCCCGCCTGCCTGCTGACCCGTGTGTGTTGTGGGTGTTTTCTACCCGCGGTGGCTCAGCAGCCCTGTCGTGACCACGTGATTACCACCCAAGTCACGGCGCCGCGGTGCGAGTCAGCCTCGGGGGAGGTCGCCCAATTCCCTGGTCGCAGGAAACCGTGAAGTTTGGTCCCATGAGAGGGCTTCTGGGTGAAAACCTGTCGACCAGGTGACCTCCCCTCGGGGCTCTATGTGGGGGTGTGTTCATGTGGGGGCTCTATGTGGGGTGTATGTGTGTGTTCATATGGGGGCTCTATGTGTGTGTGTGTGTGTTCATGTGGGGGCTCTATGTGGGGGTGTGTGTTCATGTGGGAGCTCTATGTGTGTGTGTGTGTGTTCATGTGGGGGCTCTATGTGTGTGTGTGTGTGTTCATGTGGGGGCTCTATGTGGGGGTGTGTGTGTGTTCATGTGGGGGCTCTATGTGGTGGTGTGTGTGTGTGTGTTCATGTGGGGGCTCTATGTGGGGGTATGTGTGTGTTCATGTGGGGGGTCTATGTGGAGGTGTGTGTGTTCATGTGGGGGCTCTATGTGGGTGTGTGTGTTCATGTGCGGGCTCTATGTGGGGGGGTGTGTTCATGTGTGGGCTCTATGTGGTGGTGTGTGTATTCATGTGGGGGCTCGATGTGTATGTGTGTTCATGTGGGGGGTGGTGAGGGGAGAGCAGCGTCGGCCCCATCGCTCGGAGGTGGCAGCGTCGCGGCCACGGCGTCGGCCGGACGGCTCCGCTGCCGCTGCGGCATCCCAGTTGCAGGCACGGCTCCGACGGAGCGGCTTCGCTGCTGCGGCACCACACAGCGCCACATTAAATAAGTACTACAATTTTGATTTAAAGCTTTCGTGACTGCAGTGATTCATATTCTTGGTTCTTTCGGTAAAGTCACGTTGAAGGGAAACAATAAAAGAATAAAAAATATATATAAAACAATAAAATTCTCACGACGTTTCGACTGTAACACAAACAGTCATCATCAGGTGTGAAAACCAACGGCAAGAAACATTTGAAAGAAGTGGCGGTTTTCACACCTGATGATGACTGTTTGTGTTACAGTCGAAACGTCGTGAGAATTCTATTGTTTTATATATATTTATTATTTTATTGTTTCCCTTCAACGTGACTTTACCGAAAGAACCAAGAATAAGTACTAAAATGACAATAGTTTAAAGCGATCTGAAGCATGTTTTATTTTCGAAATGGAAATATGGTTTGGGGGGCGGGGCAAAGCTTTGTGACGTGATATTTAAGGGGGGGGGGGTCTGACTTTTTCTGACGCCGTGTGACGAGGGGGGGGTGGTCAAGAATCGTCCAAAATCGCGTGACGTCATTTATGGACGGCCCCTCATCCCAGCAGCCTATTACAGGTTATACGGTGGGATCTTTGTCTTTATGATAATTTACATTTGTTAAGCGCGTTCCATTCAAGGATCCCAATGTGCCACCGTGTATGGAAATCAGGAAATAAGTCAGAGCCAGCCGGCGTAAAGAGGTCACTTTTCAGGGCGAGCTTGAAATACCTCTAAATATTACTCTTTGTCTTATTGCCAGAGGCCAAAGCGTTCCATAGTCTTGGAGCTGCACTGGAAAAAGTGCGATCGCCCCGAGGAACGGAGCCTTGATCTCGGAATACTAAGAAGAGGGAGATCGGAAGACCTCAAGGCACGGCCGTATTTATATCCGATGGGCCACAGTAGGCACGGTGCATGAGACCTACTAAAAAAATGGACCCATGTCTTTTTTGTGTGTATGATGAAATAAAATGTAACGAAGATATCTTCTTGAATCGATATATTTCCATGGCTGCTCGTTGCAATTTCTTTGCAGTGGTAACAAGTCGTTTCACTCGGTGTAAGTGAGGCATATTGCACCCAAAATAACAGTCGAACAAATATTTAAGCTTCAACGAAAGTAAAGCAACATGGCTGGGTGAGTGGCTGGGTGAGTGAGTGGGTGGCTGGGTGAGTGAGTTAGTGGCTGGGTGAGTGAGTGGGTGGCGGCATAATGAGTGGGTGGCTGGGTGAGTGAGTGTGTGAGTGGGTGGCTGGGTGAGTGAGTGAGTGGGTGGCGGGGCGAGTGAGTGGGTGGCTGGGTGAGTAGATGGGTGAGTGGCTAGGTGAGTGGGTGAGTAAGTCGGCCCTAGGCACAGTGCCTACTGTGGACTACTGGATAATGGGTACGTGAGAGGGTAAATTGGTGGCTCGGTCAGTGAGTGGGTGGCTGGGTGAGTGGGTGGCCAGGTGAGTGAGTGGGTAGCGGGGTGAGTGAGTGGGTAAGTTGGTGGCTCGGTGAATGAGTGGGTGGCTGGGTAAGTGAGTGGGTGAGTGGGTGACTGGGTGAGTGAGTGGCGGGGTGAGTGGGTGGCTGAGTGAGTAAGTGGGTGAGTGGGTGGCTGGGTGAGTGAGTGGGTGGCGGGGTGAGTGAGTGGGTAAGTTGGTGGCTCGGTGAGTGAGTGGGTGGCTAGGTGAGTGGGTAGCTGGGTGAGTGAGTGGGTGGCTAAGTGAGTGGGTGGGTGAGTGGGTGGCTGGGCGAATGGGTGAGTGGCTGGGGGAGTGAGTGAGTGGCTGGGTGAGTGAGTGAGTGGTTGGCTGGGTGAGTGAGTGGGTGAGTGGGTGGATGAGTGAGTGGTTGGGTGGCTGGGTGAGTGGGTGAGTGAGTGGCTGGATGAGTGAGTGGTTGGGTGGCTGGGTGAGTGAGTGGGCGAGTGAGTGGGTGGCTATGTGAGTGAGTATGCCCTAGGCACAGTGCCTACTGTGGCCTATTGAATACAGATAATGCGGCCCTGCAGTGGGGTAGTGGTTTGCGCACTTCACTATAAACCCGGCGCTCAGTGGTTCGATTCCGGGCCACGGCTCACCATCACTATCGATGGTGAGCGTGATCTGAGCTTCTAGAAACCTGCCATGTATGGTAACGTGATGGTTTTGATTGGAGTCTCAAGAGGTTGTTTCTCCATGGTAGGAGAAACAGCTTTGCGGATAGTACGATCCGAGTATCCATTAATCTTAAGGGCCAGGCGTACGTGTTTCAATTCACTGGCCAGGTGGTGTTTGTCAGAGATGCAGTGGGCTCTATGGTGTAGTGTTTTGATGAGGGAATTCTTCTGTGCCGGATGGTGGTGGGAATCAGGCTTCAGATACGAGTCTGTGTGGATGCCCTTCCTGTAGACAGAATGTCCCAAAGAGCCATTGGACCTCCTCTCAAACAGAACATCCAAGAATGGTAGCTTGCCATCCTTCTCCACTTCCATGGTGAATTTGATGGATGGGTGTATGGAGTTAATGTGGTCGAGAAATTGGTTCAATGCTGGTAGGCCATGTGGCCAAATGACAAAAGTATCATCCACATATCTCTTCCACAGGGAGGGATGTAGGGTGAATGTTTGGATGGCGTCTATTTCAAATTTCTCTATGAAAACATTCGCTATCACTGGTGACAAGGGGGAACCCATGGGAGTACCCTCATTTTGTTTGTAGAAAGTACCATTCCAGGTGAAGTACGCGTTGGTGAGACAATGCCTAACCCGTGCAGGGACATCAGGGTTTAATCCATGTTGGACTAAGTCTTCAATTATTGCTATGGTGTCAGGTACTGGAACCTTGGTGAATAGAGAGACCACATCAAAGCTGATGAGGACATCATCAGGGGACAGTGAAATGTCCTTGATTAGAGAGACCAAATGAGTTGAATTAAGAACTGCAGAAGTGGTCTTGCCAGTACAGGGAAGCAAAGTATCCGATAGGAAACGGGTGAGTTTGTAGGTAGGTGAGTTGATCGTGGACACAATGGGCCGCAGAGGGGTACCATCTTTATGGATCTGGGGAAGACCATAGAATCTGGATGGTCTTGCAGCCGAGAGGGTTTTAGGGAGAGACATTTGACTGGTTCGATTAGGGAAGTCGAACTGGTAATGATCTTCTTGGTTTTTGTAGTTAGGCTGTTAGTCGGATCTCTATTGATTTTGGAGTAGATGCCATCGTTGAGTAGGTCTTGGATTTTATTGGTGTATGTGGTTTTATCCATAATGACAGTGGCATTGCCCTTGTCGGCTGAGAGGATGACTATGTCATCCCTCTTTTTCAAATTTGCGAGTTCAGAGCGCTCGTCTTTGCTAATGTTGCTAATGGGTTTCTTAGCATTCTTGAGGATAGTGGCAATCTCAGCTCTAGCAACGTTTGTTTGGATGTGTCCCAAGCCTTTGAGGGCCACATCGACCTGGGAGATTATATCCTCCACTGGTATATGTTTAGGGGTAACTGTGAAATTCAACCCTTTAGCTAGTAGCGATTTTAGATTGTCAGAAATTGGGATGTTATTCTGATTGATAACAATCTTGTTGATATCTAACTCCTTACTGTGTGGTTCTGTTTTTTTCTTTGATAGGAGGTTGAATTAAGTGATCAAGTTAGCTTTACATTTGGTTGGCAATGAATTAGCAGAGGAGGCTGTCATATTGTCAACACGATCCCAATCAGAAGGGGACATTGTGTTGCGATCGAAACGTCGTTCGTTTTTTGCTTTTATTATTTTGAATTTATTTTTATTTTATTTGTACTATTTTTATCGTGGGTTTTTGCTTATATTATTTCAATTTTTTAAATGTATTATTTTTCTACGTGACTTTACCGAAAGAACCAAGAATATAAAAAAAACAATTATACTGTACATACAATTGTAAACTATTTCTTTTTTAAATCGCGTTTTGCCTTTTCGACCGCCGCGGCCGCCGTAGTGACCTTGGTACAGTGCGCGCACTGCGCTCACATGTCGAATCGTGGGCTCTGTCACTTAGCAACGTTTTAACTTTAAAAGTCTTAACTTTAAAAGTCTTTATTTTGTGTAGGGGTGTTTTTAAATTTAGTTTAAATTCCACATCGTCCCGCCTCGTCATGGCCTCGGCAATTCCTCGCATCGTCACCAAACGTGAGTTTTATATCATATTTTATTTTTTTCTTGAATACAATTTTAAGGCAAGCTTAAGAATATTTAAGCGAAAATTTCTCACAGGACGAATAGTGTTTTTAACCTTTCCGCCAATAAAACAGGCGCTGTGTTAAGACGTTTCAAACACCAAACATAAAACCCTTTTGGAAGGAATCAAGCACTGCGTTAAGCACACGCAGCGCTTGTGGTGAACGTGCAATCAAAACGCGTGCTCCGCTAATATAAGCATTGCCTTTGAGGCTGACAGGTCTGCACCAGACTTTTACGAACTCGAAATCGCGATAATTGCCGCACGACGGCCACAGATAAGCCATGCAGCGGTGTATCGAAACTGGCTGATGATGGTGAAGTATTACTACAATAACTTGTCTCTGTGAATGTGTATGCTCTGACTTTAACATAGCTATTTCTCTTTAAAGTTTTCGTGACTGCAAGGATTCATCTTCTTTGGTTCTTTCGGTAAAGTCACGTAGAATGAGAATAAAATAATAAATTGATAAAATAACACAATAATATTCTCACGACGTTTCGGCCACAACACAAGCGGCCTTCATCAGGTGAAAGGACGAGACTGTCCTCCAGACAGCGCTGTCCTCCAGTCTCGTCCCTTCACCTGATGAAGGCCGCTTGTGTTGTGGCCGAAACGTCGTGAGAATATTATTGTGTTATTTTATTTTATCAATTTATTATTTTATTCTCATTCTACGTGACTTTACCGAAAGAACCAAAGAAGATACTACAATAACGTCAAACACCGTGGTATTGATCGTTGTACCTTTAAACAAAAAAAACCCCGATATAAGTAACGTATCTGTCCACCCCTTATCAGTGCCCTACCTTATTACAGACCAGTTCAGATCTTGTTGGTCACCCCGTGCCGCTTATAAATCTCAACGTGTATCCTATACACTACACTATACACTACTATACACTACACTATACACTACACTATACACTACTATACACTACACTATACACTAGCATACACTACACTGTACACTAGTATACACTACACTATACACTACTATACACTACACTATACACTACTATACACTACACTATACACTAGCATACACTACACTATACACTAGCATACACTACACTATACACTACTATACACTACACTATACACTTGCATACACTACACTATACACTAGCATACACTACACTGTACACTAGTATACACTACACTATACACTACTATACACTACACTATACACTAGCATACACTACACTGTACACTAGTATACACTACACTATACACTACTATACACTACACTATACACTACACTATACACTACACTATACACTAGCATACACTACACTGTACACTAGTATACACTACACTATACACTACACTATACACTACTATACACTACACTATACACTAGCATACACTGCACTGTACACTAGTATACACTACACTATACACTACTATACACTAGCATACACTACACTGTACACTAGTATACACTACACTATACACTACTATACACTACACTATACACTACTATACACTACACTATACACTACACTATACACTACTATACACTAGCATACACTACACTGTACACTAGTATACACTACACTGTACACTAGTATACACTACACTATACACTACTATACGCTACAATATACACTACACTATACACTACTATACACTACACTATACACTAGCATACACTACACTGTACACTACTATACACTACACTATACACTACTATACACTACACTATACACTAGCATACACTACACTGTACACTAGTATACTATACACTACTGTACACTACTATACACTACACTATACACTACTATACACTACACTATACACTACTATACACTAGCATACACTACACTGTACACTAGTATACACTACACTATACACTACTATACACTACACTATACACTACACTATACACTACTATACACTACACTATACACTAACATCCACTATACACTACTATACACTACACTATACACTACACTATACACTACTACAAACCTGTCAACCCCTTATCAGTGCCCTACCTAATTACAGGACAATTCAGACCTTATTGGTCACCCCGTGCCCTTATAAATCTCAACCTTCATCCTACAAAGTCCCATCACAAGAGAGAAACACAAATAGACACTTTTTTTGCCCGTATTGAAACGGCCATACGCCGTATGGACATGAAAACTCGATTTCCCCGTACAATAATACGGGAAAACCCGAATGGGTTGACGGTTACGTAAATAAAATTACTCTTCCTAAATGTAGTGGCCATGTGAATCACTAGGCTTGTTTACGACGATGATTCGCGTGTTATAGCAGGCGCTTGCTTGAATGCCTCAGCAACTCAAAAGCGTCGTACGTGTGTGTATCTACATGCATGTGTATAGTGGGAGCGGTAGTGTGGAGGTTAGCGAAATTCGCTACGAACCTGGAGTCTATGGGCAGTGTGAGTCTACGGGCAGTGCTGAGTCTATGTATGGTGCATGGTTGAGTCTATGGTGCAGTGTTGAGTCTGTGGTGCAGGGTTGAGTCTGTGGTGCAGTGTGAGTCTACGGGCAGTGTTGAGTCTATGTATGGTGCATGGTTGAGTCTATGGTGCAGTGTTGAGTCTTTGGTGCAGGGTTGAGTCTGGTGCAGTGCTGAGTCTATGGTGCAATGTGAGTCTACGGGCAGTGCTGAGTCTATGGTGCATGGCTGAGTCTATGGTGCAGTGTTGAGTCTGTGGTGAAGGGTTGAGTCTATGGTGCAGTTCTGAGTGTATGGTGCAGTGTGAGTCTACGGGCAGTGCTGAGTCTATGGTGCATGGTTGAGTCTATGGTGCATTGTTGACTCTGTGGTGAAGGGTTGAGTCTATGGTGCAGTGCTGAGTCTATGGTGCAGTGTTGAGTCTATGGTGCAGTGTTGAGTCTATGGTGCAGTGTTGAGTCTATGGTGCAGTGCTGAGTCTGTGGTGCAGGGTTGAGTCTATGGTGCAGTGCTGAATCTATGGTGCATGGTTGAGTCTATGGTGCAGTGTTGAGTCTGTGGTGCAGGGTTGAGTCTGTGGTGAAGGGTTGAGTCTATGGTACAGTGCTGAGTCTATGGTGCAGTGTGAGTCTACAGGCAGTGCTGAGTCTATGGTGCAGTGTTGAGTCTATGGTGCAGTGTTGATTCTATGGGCAGTGTTGAGTCTGTGGTGAAGGGTTGAGTCTATGGTGCAGTGTTGAGTCTGTGGTGCAGGGTTGAGTCTATGGTGCAGTGCTGAGTCTATGGGGAGTGTTGTGTATATGTATGTTGAACTTTTCTCGCACCGGACGTAGCCAACCGTGCTTAATCGGAGGTTGTCCCTTGTCGCTGTCCCAGGGCTGCTCTCCACGGCCGCGTCTGCGGCGCCATGCGTGGCCGCAGCCTCCGTGGCCACCGCGGGCCGCCGTGTGGCGCTCTTCGAGGCCGAGCGACGGCGGCAGCTGGAGCTGCTGATACGCATCGAGAAGGTGGAGCTGAAGCACATGGGGCCCGGGCAGCGCGGGGCCACCCTCGTCATGAACCGCGGCCTCTCCACTCCCTACAACTGCGCCCAGCGTGAGGATCGACCGGAGCCGCACGTGGCTTGCATGCTCGACGCGATTAAGTTCCTCCTATGCGTGTGTGCATGTTAAACTTCTCTCGCACGGGACGTAACCAACCGCGCTAATCGGAGGCGCGGGAGGTTGCCTTTGCGTCGATTGCTTCGGCCCTGGCGGCATCTCAGCCGACGCGACCTTAGACTCTGCCGCACGCTTTCCCCCCGGCCACCTTCCCCACCCCACCCCCGCCCGCCTTCCCCCGGCACCCTCCAGATCTGAGCGAGTGGTTCCAGACGCGCTCCGTGCTCGCGAGCATCGACGGCGAGCTCTACGACATGTACCGCCCGCTGGAGTGTGGCGGGCCCATCACCTTCCTCACCTTCAAAGACGCGGACGCCACGCCCGTCAACGAGGTCTGTCCCGCGCGGCCGTGCTCCCCTGCCAAGAACTCCTTCCCCTCCTGCTCGCTCCCGTTTTGTTCGAAAGTATCGGGGTGGGGGAACCTACTACAGCCCCCCGCCCGCCCCCCCACGAGGCCCGACCGCCACCGCTGCCAAACCTCCAATTTCCCGCAACTCTAATTAGCACGGTTGGCTACGTACGGTGTTGCAAAAGAAGTTCAAACGGCCCGCAGACAATGAGATCCGTCCGCCACTGTGCGAGCGTTCTTAGCCGCGCTAGTCGGGCAACGAAGGGGGCGAATGCTTCCGACCCGGCGGCAACGGCGCAGTTTTCTGATTTTTAATTCCGCGCGCAGCCAGCTGTTGTCTCTTCAAGGGGTGCTGGCCGCAAAGGCAACGCGTGCGGTGCTCGCGTGATCGGACTGGCACGCCATCCACGTACGTACGCACATATGTTGAACTTGTTTCGCACGGTACCTAGCCAACCGCGCTAATCGAAGATTCGAATTAACGAATAGGTCATCCACCACTGAGTCTGTGAGTTTGGTTCCCAAATCCTGTGTTGTTCACTAACAAACTCAATTTTCTTAACATTAACACGATTTATACCCATGTTAGTGGTTTCTGGTAGAGAGGTGCGCAGAAAATGGTTGTATTTTTGGATTATCCGCGATTTTGAATTATCCGTGTCCGTCCTCCCCCTCCTTAGCGCGGATAATCGAGAGTCTGCTGTGAGTGTGTATGTTGAACTTCTTTCGCACCCTACGTAGCCAACCACGCTAATTGGAGATGCTCGCTGCAGCACATGCCCCGGACAGTATGATAAGTCCACACTTGGGAGTATTTTTGCCTTTCTGTTGTCTGTGTGGCCACGTGTCTGATTGTGTCGCGTGCGCGCTCCCTCGCCCGGCCTGTTGCGTAGGCCTACTGGCGTTCCTGTGCCCTCATGCTGGGCTCGGCCCTCAGCAGATCCTTCAAGGAGGAGTTCCCCATTGAGCTGATCGGCTCCCCCGAGGTTCCAGGTGAGGTTCCACTCCAGCCCCAAGCGCCGTGAGCGCTGTTCCTTTCAGTAACTTGAGTCATTCGAAGTTCTGGCATGGCAGCGGTAATTCCAATAGCCACGATCAGTCCACTGCCGGACGCGTTCCTGTCCTATACCTTGCACTGCGATCGTTATATTGTTTGGTGTTGTAACTTTTTGACCCGCCCCTACTGGATTCCTCTAGTCTGTGAAAAAGAGCTTCATAGCTCATCGGAATTCTCCGGGATAAATGAAGGTTCCGATACTGGACATCTGTGAAAAAGAGCTTTTTGGCTGATCAGATTTCTCCAGGATAAGTCAAGATTCTGATTCAGCTGCAGTGTTCACAATAGCAGCAGCAACAACCATGCTCACTCCACTGCTGGATGGAACTCGCCACAGCAGCATGGGCTTGCCTCGGGTTTTGACTGGGTTCTCGTACGGTCTGTTCTCCTGTAGTGTCGCATGTTTTCATAACGTGAATTTGATGTACTGCATCAAAACCACACCACCACTTACAATAACCCAATTCTTAATTTCATGTTATTATCATGATGCTATGTACAAATTTATAATTGCTATATGATTCTCATTAAGATAAGGTAACACAATTAATGTTTTAGGGAACACATTTTTTGTATGACGTGCATGCGAATTGGATATAACGCGATCGAGTAAACGTAACTTAAGTGGCGTGAGTAGGAATAAGCGGTCGTGCGGCAGCCTCGGTGAAGCATGATCATCTCACAAGGCGGTGGGATACTGTTGGATGCTTCTAGACGCTACCCACGCACCTAAGTTTTTGTCGTATAACGAGGGTGGGAATTGGATATAACGCGAACGGAACTTCGTCGTGTGAGTAGGAATTAGCGGTTTGTAATGGCTGCCTCGGCGTGGCATCATCATCACACGCGGCGGTGGGATGCTGCTAGATGCTTCTAGACGCTACCCATGCGTCTCAGTCTTTGCTCTGCCTGCGTACGCATCTCACGTGTGCTTTACCCTATATTCTATACTTACTACCGCCACGTTACAGGAGAATACGAGCGCATTGCCACGAACGGGGCGACTTGAATTTTGATTTAAAGCTTTCGCGACTGCAGTAATTCATATTCTTAGCTCTTTCGGTAAAGTCACGTTGAAGGGAAGCAATAAAATATATATAACAATAAAAAAAATCTCACGACGTTTCGACCATAACACAAACGGTCGTCATCGGGTGTGACTTGAGTTCGAGCTACGAGGTTCGCACTCGAGTTGGCCGTGAAAACGGACCGCGCTGCAGTTTCGCCTCGCGGAACGCCGTGAATTCCCACCCCCCCCCCCCCGTCCCACACAGCAATCCGGGCCTGGGCAGAAAAAACGTCGCCAAATGGGTTACGATTTTAAAAAAAATAAGTAATAATAATAGTAGTACAGGTGATCATCGATTATCCGGCTGCTTCCAACGTTATCCGGCAGTCCCAGGCCGATCCGGCGAACCCGGCAAAACCGCTCCAAAGGCTGTAATCAGTCCGGCGATCGGCACGGTGCTCGTGACAAAAACAATAGCTATACTTGATTTCACTGCCAAATATATATACGGTACATTATACACTACATGCACGTATATATACATCACCCCATGCAGAGTCTTCCAGATTGGAGTGGTAAGTATGGTTGAGTATATAAAGTAACTTTTTAAAGTAGGATATTTGTTTTTGTCTAGTTGTATGTTTATTTATGCCAAGTTCATAAAAAACGAAAACACACATACACAACACCTCAAAACACAATGTCATGCAAGAATGTGAAATAATAAGCTATTTTAAATAATGATTATTTGCGAGTATCCGGCGTTTTTGAAAATCCGGCACCCCCGAAGCCGAATAATGGATGATCTTCTGTAGTAATAATAATAACAATGTTGTAGGCGGAGGGGAGATGTTAAGTGTGAACGTCTATTAAGTTAACCTTCAACGTTCAAATTAAAAGACAATTTTCACCGACGCGTTCGTGACCCCCCCCGCGCGCGCCGATTGCTTGCGGTTGCATCCTGACACCGACGCCGCCGCTGCCCTGGTGCCCTGCTGCTGTGGTGGTGCCCTGCTGCCCCTGCGCTGTCTCCCAGTCATATCCGGAGCCTTCTGCTACGACGTTCTGCTCGATGCCAAACTCGACGCCTGGGTCCCATCGGAGGTGAAGTGTCTCAAATCTATTTTGACTTTTTTTGTGTTACTTTACCGGGTAAGGCCCGCTGAGCTGTATAGCTCTTTTTCAGAAGAAGAGATACATGCGGAGCGAAACTCCCATTAATTAACGGTCATTAATTGGTGGTTAACACCTTCATATATAAAGGACCGCAGAGCTTGGAGGGGAATTTTTTGCCCCTGTAGCCACGAGTCGTATCTCGGCTGGATACGCCCCCATCGGCCATAAGGTCCCTTGGTCTAGGTCAGTGGTTCTTAACCTTTACTGCAGCCTTTTGTACCCCTTTGGTTCTCGTTCGTAAAAAAAAAATGATGTTAATAAATACATAAGGGTTTGATGACACAAATTCATACTCTTAGCTCCTTCGGTAAAGTCACATTGAAGGGAAACAATAAAATAATAAAATATATATACAACAATAAAAATTCTCACGACGTTTCGACCATAACACAAACGGTCGTCATCAGGTGTGACTTTACCGAAAGAGCTAAGAGTATGAATTACTGCAGTCACGAAAGCTTTAAATCAAGACACAAATTCAGTTGTGCTACTTACGAGCCCGTGGCTTAATTTGTGTTTTCCATGATTTATCTTCTAAAAAAACGTGGCAATGTCTCGCTACCCCCAGAAAGGGCATCTTGCACCCCCAAAGGGTCCATGCACCCTAGGTTAAGAACCAATGGTCTAGGTGATCACGATTATGATGATGATGATAATGACGACAAAGACAACGATTTTGATGATGATGACGATTATGATGATGATGATAACGAAATTGATAATGACTAAAATTGTGATGATGATAAAGATGGGGATTATGACGAAAGCGACGATGATGATGACGATAACGATAATGTTTGCGATTCCAGGATAATCTTCGCTCCATCACACGCGAGGTCCACCTGCTCCTCAAGGAGAACCTGCCCTTCGAGCGCCTCTCCGTTGACGCCAGCGTCGCCCTCGACATGTTCAGCGACAGCAGGTGAGGCGTCACGGTTACCCGCTCACACGCACTCCCCGTTAACACCAGCGTCACCATCGACATGTTCAGCGACAGTGAGTGAGGCGTCACGGTTACCCGCTCACACACACTCCCCGTTAACACCAGCATCACCATCGACATGTTCAGCGACAGTGAGTGAGGTGTCACGGTTACCCGCTCACACACACCCCCTGTTAACACCAGCGTCACCATCGACATGTTCAGCGACAGTGGGTGAGGTGTCACGGTTACCCGCTCACACACACTCCCCGTTAACACCAGCATCACCATCGACAAGTTCAGCGACAGTGAGTGAGGTGTCATGGTTACCCGCTCACACAAACCCCCCGCTGACGCCAGCGTCACCATCGACATGTTCAGCGACAGCGGGTGAGGCGTCACAAAGACAATGAACCACCCCATCCCGTATAGCCTTTAACAGACTTGTTGGGGCAAGTGCCGTCAGCGAGTAGCAGCACCGACGTAGGCCGGGCACTGTGGCACGCGAGTCAACCCGGGGTGCCACCCTCACGGTCTGCGTGTTCCCGTCTCTAGGCCGAAGGTGGCTGCGATCGAAGAGAAGGCCTCGAAGAACGCGGAGCGGAAAGTCACCCTCTACAAGTACGTCCAACGGCGCACGATAATCGTACGCCTCCGATGAGCACGGTTGGCTACGTGCGGTGCGAAAGAAGTTCAACATACACACAACCTTACATGCGTTACGGTAACGGTGAGGATCCAGAGGTCACCGGTTCTGTTTATTTCCTGGCTTTCCATACACGGCGCATCAGGATCTCCGGATGAAATGTGCCTTACAACTGTGAATTATGAATATTGATACGCGAGCAAATGTGACCAAATGTGCAGGTGCACAGTGGTGGCTGTGTGTTCCATCCTTATGGACCGTTGAGTCTTCTTTGAAACTTAACGTTGTGTACGTTTAGAAATCTGTCCCGTGCCCATCACACAAAATACCCACCCACACCGACGCACACACAACCCCACCCCACGCCACCCGCACCCGACCCTAACCACCCACCCTACCCTATCCCACCCGACCCACCCAACCCAACCCACTCGCCCAACCCCACCGTACCCTACCCTACCCACCCTACCCCACCCTACTCCACCCTACCCCACCCTATCCCACCCTACCCCACCCACCCACCCTATCCCACCCTACCCCACCCACCCACCCTATCCCACCCTACCCCACCCTAGCCACCCACCCACCCTATCCCACCCTACCCCACCCTAGCCACCCACCCACCCTATCCCACCATACCCCACCCACCCACCTGACCCCACCCTACCCTCCCCTACCGACTCCACCCGACCTTACCCAACCCACCCATCTGACCCCACCCACCTGACCCCACCCACCTGACCCCACCCTACCCACCCACCCGACCCACCCCCCTTACATCATTCCCAGGCTCGGGGACTTTGTGGAAGTCAGTGACGGGCCGCACATCCCGCGTACCGGCTTCTGCTTCCACTACGACGTCACTGCCGCCCACGCGCTCAGCCCCCCGGCGGCCGGGGCGGCACCGCAGCCGGACGCGGCGGCACCCGCGGGGAGCTTGCGGAGGTTCCAGGGAGTCTCCCTGCCCTGGCCACTCAAGGTGGGTGCCAGCTTGCTGGCTGTTGTCTTGGTGTGTTCTCGGACTGCTGCTGTTGTTGTTGTTGGCACCGGGGCGGGTGGGGAGCTTGCGGAGGTCCCAGGGAGTCTCCCTCCCCTGTATAAGGGCGCCAGGGTGGTTAAGAGATGTTAACTACCTCGCCCGGTAGACAGGAGGTCATGGGCTTGATCCCGACCCTGACGCCTGCTGTATATTTGGAGTTCGCGTGTCTATCTCTCCGCGATGGTCGCGTGGATTTTTACCCGGTCCTCCGGTTTTTCCCTCCAGATTTATAAAATCAACATCACGTGTTTAGAGTGTTTGGCTTCTTTAAATTTCCACGTGGTACGCAACTTAGTTGAGCTATCATTTATGATCGCCAGATCGCTTCTGAAAAATAGCTACGTAGCTCGGTGAGCTTTACCTGGTAAAATAAAAAATCGTTTAAATAGTAATATGGCTGTGTTGCCTTGGTGTGGTCTCAGAATGTTGTTGTGGTTGTTGTTATTTTCTGCCTTGCCCCAAGCTTGGATTTCGTGTTAACAAATCGGCAGAAATTTGTGTACTTATGCAATTTGTACTCATACTTTCTACATATTTATTTGGAGTTACTTTTTTCTATTTTGAACTCCTATCGTTTTTTTGATTGCTGTTGGAACTTGCTGATCGCGTGCCCCTACTGGACATCTGAGCTTTATAGCTCATCGGATTCCTCCTCCTGCAGCATAAATGAAGATTCTGACTCTTGAGTAAGAAAGGCCGTGAGTCTTTTGGAGATCAAACCCCATGTCTTGGTGTCTCAGGTGGGTTCATATTTGGCCGTGCCGGAGACCCTGATCAAGAACTGAGATGAGTTCATGCCCTGGATCAGGGTGTCCTCTCTGTTTCTCAAGATAACCCTAATGGCTACGTCAGAGCCACTGATCTAGAACTGAGATCCCGAGTTTGAGCCCTGGGTGGATTTGTTTAACGGCTTCATGGTGGCCATGTCTCTTTAAAGTGGTTCATAATGGCCATGTCAGAGACACTGACCTGACCCAGCACTGCTGAGATCCTGGGTGTGGATTGGAGCTTTGTTCACTCATATAGCCACAGGGCAAATCAGTGTTGTTATTATTACTGTAACGGTGAATTTATTTGGGGGAGTGACTTTGGTGACATGTTAATTTGCGTTCACAGACCCATCACGTTATCTGGAGCCGTCTCGTAGCAAGGTCTCGTAAACTGGTACGTCACAAAATAACTATTCCACCAACGTCGTCGTCAGACATGGTCATCCACTGCTGGATGAAGGCCCCCCCCGCCCCCTCCCCCACGTCGTCGCCATCTTTCATGACCTTGCAATGCAACGATCCCCTCTGGCTCCCTCTCCCGCATTCAACTTCGGATGCCACTTCGCCCCCACCGGTGTTGCCCTTGACCGGGAATTGAACGCGGATGATGGGGCTCGTAGCGCAGTGCGCTAACCGTTACATACCACTCGTGTCCTTTACGAAAAGAAAGCATGAATCGCAAGACTTTTTTTTTTTTGCTCCTACGTTTGGATGTTTTGGCAATTGATCCCCGTGAACTCCGGTCATCCTCGCAGCAGCAACGGCTTTTGGCTCGCCCATCGAACAGAGACGGTGGTCACTGCATTGCGTGGCGTTTTCAGATGCGCTTCTGCGCGCCGTCTGGAACCGCTCGTCCTATATTAGGAAGCCACTGGGAGCTACGCTGCACTTTTAAATCGTCTAGATTGAAATCCCGCACGTAGCCAACTGTGGTGCGGTGGGGAAGGACAACAAACGAAACGCAAAAAGCTGTTTCAAAGAAACGGGTTTTCAATCTAGATTATGGCGTGAATGCCAACGCGTTAAAAAAATATCACGCTCGCCTATAATTTTTTTTTTTTTTTTCTGTCGAAGGTGACGGAGGGCAGGAAGGAAGCTGAAGAAGTCGCCGTCGCTTCCTCGCCAGCGGAGCCCTCGACTGTGGAGCCCTCGACTGCTGCCACGCCCACCACGAGCACCACGACCACGACTGCTGCTGCATGAGAACCCGCAGCTCCGAGTCGACGGTTCACATCTCCCTTAAAAACGAGTTCATGACCCAATAAAAAAAAAACACTTCAATCTGCCCACGGAGCAGCTCATCGTGAGATTGCGCACGTGTGGGTGACGTGGTCGGGGTGGGTGGTGGGGGAGGAGACGGGCGCTTGGGATATCACCTCCCCCACCCCCCTTCAGGGGATAGACGGGAGTTGGCTTCCCCGCGGGATTGTTCCCGACGACGATCTCGTTTGGCGCGTGCAGGCTCTACCGCCCCACCCTTGTGCCTCCTCCATTGTTGTTCCCCCCTCCTCCGTATATATAAAAACAAACACTGAAACTCCTGCTCGTAGTACCCACCACGTGTGTGTTTGTGTGTGGGGCAGTGAGCCCAATTTTTGTCCCCCCCCCACCATCCATCGTTGGACCCAGGAGTGCCGAGTCGGGGATTTAGTCCGCGGAGTTTCCGTACCCCCCCCCCTTCCGCCATGTCGAGGTTTATGCCTTGTGCCAGGCTCTTGTTACGTTGCAACTAAGCAAACAAGACATTTAACTCAGTGTAACACGTAGTAGTAGGCGTTCATGCCAAATATCCAAAATAGAGGTTTTTGGGTTAGACCGCGCAAATATAAATGTGTCATATTCTTAGTTTTTTCGGTAAAGTCACGTTGAAGAGAAAAAACTAAGAATATGAATTACTGCAGTCACGAAAGCTTTAAATCAAAATATAAATGTGTCGTTAAACCTGCCACCACCCAACGCAGCCAATTAATAAGGTTTGTCACGTATGCAAAACGAATTGGCATGTTTTGTGTTTGTGACACATCTTACTAATTGGCTGTGTTGGTTGGTGGCTGGTTTAACGACATGTTTATGTTTACGCGATGTAATCCAAAAACCTCGTATGGAAAACACTTACCTATTTAAAACAATTTTTGTTTTATTAGCTAAGGCCCACTGAGCTCTGTAGCTCTTTTTCAGAAGCGACCTGGCTTTCACAACTTATCGCGCCAACGAAGTGGCTCAACGTTTAAAATGTATAGCAGCTAAATACCCTAAAACGCGTGACGTTGATTCTAAATGTAGAGTGGAAAACCGAAGGAAAAATCCTCGCGACCACTCCAAATCTCCAGCAGGCGTCAGAGTCGGGATCGAACACACGACCTCCTGTACACCAGGCGAGGGAGTTAACATCTAGCCACCGTGGGATCGAGCCCACAACCTCCTGTACACCAGGCGAGGGAGTTAACATCTCCTAGCCACCGTGGGATCGCGCCCACAACCTCCTGTACACCAGGCGAGGGAGTTAACATCTCCTAGCCACCGTGGGATCGAGCCCACAACCTCCTGTACACCAGGCGAGGGAGTTAACATCTCCTAGCCACCGTGGGATCGCGCCCACAACCTCCTGTACACCAGGCGAGGGAGTTAACATCTCCTAGCCACCGTGGGATCGAGCCCACAACCTCCTGTACACCAGGCGAGGGAGTTAACATCTCCTAGCCACCGTGGCGCTGTTAAATCTGCTTCGTCACTCCCAACCTGTGGCCCGTAAACGATTCCTCGCGCTACGTCAACTTCAAACGAATTTTTTACCCACGCAAATCCTTTAGGCCTGTGCAACGACAACAACAGACGGGTATTATTGCGTCTTGTCTTCTCACAAAGTGGCTCGAAGTTTATGACCCCTGAAAGGATGATCGTGACGACCATGGCTGAGTGGACCTAGGTTTTGATTTAAAGCTTTCGTGACTGCAGTAATTCATATTCTTAGTTCTTTCGGTAAAGTCACGTTGAAGGGAAACAACAAAATAATAAAATGTATATAAAACAATAAAAAAAAATTCTCACGACGTTTCGACCATAACACAAACGGTCGTCTTCAGGTGTGTTGGTTTGTTATGGTCGAAACGTCGTGAGAACATTTTTATTGTTTTATATATTTTTTTATTATTTTGTTGTTTCCCTTCAACGTGACTTTACCGAAAGAACTAAGAATATGGACCTAGGTTGTTTTCATCTCCCGTAGTAACGCCGGTAGCGAATCGTTCGTCAACGGATGCCATTATCTCCCAGAGTAGAGAACGCACGGTAAAATTGTGTTGTTTATGATGTATGTACTTTGAACTTGTTACGCAACCGTACGCAGCCAACCGTGATAATCGGAGGTGCGGGAAAATCTGCTGGGATGAGGGCCTCCCTTCTCTGCACACCGTTGCGGGTCGTGGCCATTATTTGACCATACTTCACCACGCTGGTCAAGGCCCATACAAGTGCTACTCTCCAGGCTCACCCCCACCTGCCCCCCCCCTGCCCCCCCTGCTTAGCTGCTTAGTTCTGACTTTCCTGGGGAGAGATCCCCCAGGTTATTTCGCCATAGGCCATGATTGATCCGTGTGAATAGATAATAATTATCATGAGAATCTACATCTGGGAAGCCTGGCCCGGACAGGACATCTGTGAAAAAGATCTGTATAGTTCATCGGATGTCTGCAGTATAAATATTCTGATTTTCAGGTGGGTCCCGTTGCATTGGGATGTTTGACCAATTCTGATTTTGTACGTTTGGGTAAAACATCACTTGAGCCAAATGTGTTTGTGTATGCAACACACATATTGCATACACACACACGTGTGTGTGTGTATGCAACACATTTGAAATAAATGCTTTATTTACAAATGAACACAAATGTGTGATCTTCTTTGGTTCTTTCGGTAAAGTCACGTAGAATGAGAATAAAATAATAAATTGATAAAAATGTGTGATGTTACTATTTTTGCTGGGCTGAGATCAGTGGCGAGTAATGATTCAACCGGTCCTGGGCCTCTCCTTTGTACTCGGATACAATTGTATTCCAAAAGAGTGAATGAGTACTTTATCCAAGAATAAACGCAATTTTGTTGTGTCAATTTCAATTTGCCAATTTTCACTCAAAATTAAAAATGCATGGGGATAAGCGGAATCGATAAGTCGGTGCACCGATTGCGAAAGCCACGATTCTTCATTGCAAATGAACGCACTCGCGATTTTATATAGATTCCAATCTCGATTCCATTAACGTTAAATTGGCATGGGGAATCGATAGCGCGAGGTTGTTTCGGTAGATTAGTCGATTCTATACACGTCACTCGCGCACAGTACAGTATGTTTAACACGTAGTACAGTACGCGCTAGTGCAGTGTTTAATTGCTCAAAACGCACATTTTTAAACGCGATCGGGTCGCGTTAGAGTTTTAAAGTTAATTTCTCAGGTTGTAGGCTCTTTTACAAGTCGTGAAAATGTCATTTTTTACAGATTCGCTCATCATGTTTTCATCCCAGGTAAACTGTCGTACAGAGCGGCCCCTTGCATAACATTGTCCATAATGTTTGGGGTAATGTTCGCCGTTTAAACTTTTTACAATGTTATTGTCATAATAAAACTCCCGTTTCAAATTAATGCACTTCATGTGATACATCTTACGTATAAGGCAGTGGCCATTCTGACTTGTCTTCATCGTGGTGTGTTCAGTACCTTCCATGCAATACTACAACACTGCATTCAGAGTAATATAACTTAAAGTTATAATGTAACTTGTTATAATATAACCTATCGTTATAATATAGCTTATTGTCATAATATAACTTATAATATAACTTAAAGTTATGATATAACTTATCGTCATAATATAACTTAAAGTTATAATATAACACATCGTCATAATATAACTTATCGTTATAATATAACTTATCGTTATAATATAACTGAAGGTGGTGTATAGGTCCTGTGATCTGTATTGTGTTGTGCACGGCGTCATGTTCTGCCAACATTCCCCAAACCCCTCCATCCACCATCTCAATAGCTCATTGGGCCTTACCTGGTAAGAACATTTTAATTTTCGATTTAAAGCTCTCGTGACTGCAAGGATTCATCTTCTTTGGTTCTTTCGGTAAAGTCACGTAGAATGAGAATAAAATAAAACAATAACATTCTCACGACGTTTCGGCCACAACACAAGTGGCCTTCTTCAGGTGAAAGGAACATACCTGTCGGGACGACAGATCGGGACGACAGAGCTACATTGTAACTCTGTCGTCCCGACAGGTTTGTTCATTTTAATTAAATTTTATTTCTATATCTATATATATACTTTAAGTGCTGTGTTTACTTTTACTATACTTTGCACTCCAATAGTTTTTTTGTTAATGTCACTTTCTGACCCCGTGCCCCTGCTGGATATCTGTGAAAAAGAGCTTTATAGCTTATCGGATTTCCCCAGGTATAAATAAATATTCTGATTATCATTTAGAGCACACACGCTAGTTAAAATACATATATTGATTGATAAGAAGGACGTCGTATATAGATTAAGATTGTCTCCCTGGGTTTTAGTGTTTGTCTCCTTTGGTGAACCTCAGCCAGGGGTGGAAATTCCCAGTTTCCATGGCCGGGGGTCAGGACATCTATTGCGTGACCACTGTTAACTTCCCACAGAGTTGTATTCGTCATTGGCCCTGTTTGAATGATGACGATCGTCATTCATTATGAATAGGTCACTTTGTTGAGTGGCTATCACTTGTGGCCAGGTTGCTTCTGAAAAATAAGTTAATACTTTAGTGGACTTTGCCTGGTAGGATGGGGGATTGTTTAGTGTTGTTGTATTTGTGTGTTGGGTGATTTGTTTACACTCCAATCGTGTTTTTGTATTGTGTTGTAACGTTCTTACCCTATGCCCCTCACGGACATCTGTGAGTAAAGAGCTTCATAGCTCATCGGATTCCTCCTGTATAGTATAAATAAATATTCTGATTCTGATCTGATCATGATGACGGTCATAATGAATGACCGCACCTCCGATTGGCACGGTTGGCTACGAACGGTGCGAAATAAGTTCAACATACATACATGATGGTAATGCCTATGATTTTGATTATGTTGATTACAGTAATTATTCTGATGGTTATAATAATAGCGTTGATGAACGTACCGATGATGATGATATTGGTTGTCACGATGATGGTGGTGACGGCGATGATGGTGACATTTGGAACGACTGAAAACACGAGCGCTAAAAAAAAAAAGCTGATTGCGTTTTTTTGGTTGTCGCGTGTATTTTGTGTTGCAGATAATATTTTTTGGATTTGGATGGCTGTTTTTCATGCGGCAGCTCTTTAAGGACTACGAGGTTTGATATGCATACGCGCGTGGGCACAAACACGAGGGTACAGATTCTGAAATGTGTAATCACGCCGACGTACGTCGGAACTATCAGGCGCCTCTAATTCGGACACAGCATTCTTGGACTCCGTCTTTCACTCGAACGTCTCCTCGTGCGCTCCCCTTTCATCCCCCCCCCGAGCCCTCGTTCTCCAACCTTCACTCACCCCAGTTTAACACGTAGGCTCTCGTGACCAATATTATTCATAATAAAGGTTTTTGGGTTCGATCGCGTAAGTCTAAATGTGTCGTAACCCTTCACCACACGACACAGCCAGTAAGGTCGCTTAAACAACGCGTCAATTAGTTACTACTTCAGCCCGCCGGTGTGTTGAAGAGTAAATCCACAACATTTACAATTTGAGTACCCGTGACGTTTCGCTGGTAATTACATCCAGCATCATCGGGCGATTTGCCACTATTCTGGTCGATTTGCCACGATTCTAGCAAATCGCCCAATGATGCTGGATGTTATTACCAGTGAAACGTTACGCTGCTCAAATTGTAAATGTTGTGGATTCCTTCTCTCGCCCCACTCCTGGTCCTACACCCCAACGGTCGTCAACCGTCGTCTTTACAGTCCACCTTCGCTTCCCGCCTTCTCCGTTCAAATCTCCCTTCCGATCGCCTTCAATCTCGCCTCCCGACCAATCACCCTGGAGGCCACTCTGTGCCAATCTGAGGCCTTGGCCTGCTTCCTGGTGGTCTGTTTGCTGCTTCGGGTGAGTGATCTGGAATTTCGGTCATTGGAAATGTACAGACAGACACCGGAGGTTGCGGAAGACCCGACGTACGGAAATCCGACCTTTTGGAAATGCTCCCATGAATCGTGTTTAAAAAAAATGTCAACATGCGGAAATGTTTTGCGTTAGTTACGTAAGCGCAAGTAGTGCGGCGCGGTGAGGTTGCGGATAAAGACCGCGGAGCGAGGAGGCGTGAAAAGGCAGGGCTGCGGCTCCCTCTGCAGCCCTGCCTTAGAACTTATGACGGCTGTTGTTGACCCCGATGATCTAATTCCCGTCTCCTCACCTTCCTCATCCAGCATATAAGTCCTTTCGTCATTCACAACTCTTTCCGGCTCTGGGATTTTATTTCGATTTTGGGGGAAAATTGTTCAGTTTCCGACGTGCGGAAAATTCGGTGTTACGGATCTTTCTCGGGAACCTAACCCATCCGTCACCCGGGGACTGTCTGTATTTTCATATGACTGGCCACATGACAAAGATAGTGTGTGCCGATGGGCCCACGTAGCATCGTGGTGTCACGTGCATAGATGTTAAGACGCCACCACTGCTTGTGTTGCGATAGAAACGTCGTAGTTTTTTGGTTATTTTCTTTGAACCTATCTACGTGACTTTACCGAAAGCCCCAAAGAATATGCACAAGTATACTCCCGCACAGACGCCGACACACATGGACGTTCATGAACACCACACTCTGCATCAGTGGTTCTCAATCGTGGGTACGCTGACTCCCCGGGGGTTCATGTAACCCCCAGGGTGTAAGTGGCAATGTCCCATGGGGTTACATGGGGTGATTTATAAATGTGCCTTCGACTGTCACATTCATTTTGCTTAATATGCTTACGTTATTGGCGTTCACTATTCGTACATTTATTTCCCAGAACTCTGTTGGGTCAAATTTCGATGTAAAGCTTTCGTGACTGCAGGGATTCATCTTCTTGGTTCTTTCGGTAAAGTCACGTAGAATTGAAATAAAATAATGAAAATAAAACATAATAAAATAAAAATTCTCACGACGTTTCGGCCACAACACAAGTAGCCTTCCTCAGGTGAAGAAACAGAACTGTCGGGAAGACAGCGCTTCAGTGAACACAGCCAAGCTTTGGCCGCGTCTTTTAAGCTAGGTGGGAGGAGCAGAGCGCCTTGACCAAGGAGTTTACATATCAACAGAAGAATTTAGCATTGGAGTAGCTATGTTAGTGTGTTGGATTAGCATGATGTTAAAGTCAGAAATTAGCATGTAACTGGGGGGATTAGCATGATGTTAGTGTGAGGGATTAGCATGTTACTATGTCGGAACTATGTCGGAAAAAGTGGCGGTTTCTGTTGGGTCAGGCAAGGGGCTAGTTGGTTGAAACAACATTCAACATGTAGTACAAGTAGCCAACATAGTTGGAGAACCATTGCTCTACATCATCATGAGCGATGACCTATACACTGTTAGGTGAAGTCCTCTCCATGCTATCGACATCTCTTACGGTTCTGCGACACCACAGTCTCCATCTCCTGCACGTGAACTTGCCGCTCCATCTCCACGGTGATTGTTCTCTTGTGTACATTCTCCCCTTTAGCCTGTCATACATTAGCACACACAGACATACCCACTCACAGCACAAGTGTGTGTGTGTATATATGGGTGTGTGCATCGGTGCTTGCTAAGACTACTCGCCCCAGAACCCTGTTAAGACTACATAGCGGATCTTTATGTTTGTTTGTGTGTAGGTGCGGAGCGGTGGCGCAGTGGTTAGCACGCTGCGCTACGAACCCGGTGACCCGAATTCGATTTCCACTCACGCCCAACACCAGTGATAATCACTATCTGAACCAGTCGTGGGCCTCCGCTAGATCGACTCAGCCTGAAATGAGTGCCTGGTGCAGTGCGTAAACATCGGCACTGCGGAGACAAAGGCGGCCGGGCGTGGTGCTGGCCATGCGCCGTGCCTGCTTTCGTAGGTTGCTCATTAACCACACTTGCCCCGACAGTCTAATGAAGGCAACACGGGGGGATCTTTGTCTTTTGCAGGTGCGGAGGTACCTGGTGCAGATCGTTTTCTCCGTGACGTTTGCGTTCTCGTGCACGATGTTTGAGCTCATTATTTTCGAGATCTTGGGCGTGCTCAACACAAGGTGGGCGACCCGCGTGCTCTCGCGCTCACAGACACGTTGCGAGTCTCTCGCGTGGCAGTTGGACATCGCCAATGTCGTGCCCCGGCTCGTAATAATGATGATGCACTCCTATGGTGTTTTTGAATTGTTTGTTGGTCTAACGTTCTTACCCCGTGGCCCGACTGGACATCTGTGAAAAAGGGCTTTGTAACTCATTGTATTCTTCTGGTATAAGTACATATTCTGGTTCTGCTTCTGATGTGAAAGACTCTTGACCAGCACCGCTGAGACACCCTCAGTTGAGGCCCTGGTTCTGGCTGTCGCTGTCTCTGTCAGGGGTATTAATAATGGATACACAGCCAGCACCGCTGAGAACCTGCATTTGCTGAACTTCATAATATGCAGCAAAGTTTTGTGAATTGTATCACTGGTTTGGAACTGGCCCCGCCACCCCCCTAATGACCAGCCGCTACCAGACAGAGGAAACTCGCATGAACAGCACATTCTGGAACACACAATGCTGCTCCCTGATTGTGGAGTGGTTGTGTAGCAGGTGGCGCCCTGCGCAACAAACCTGACGACCAGAGTTCGATTCCCGCCAATAACGGTGGCCAATCTCTTAACCGCACCGGGCCTCCCCTAGGTTGACTCAGCCTTAAATGAGTACCTGGTGCAGTGCGTAAACATATGACCTGAGGAGACAAAGGCAGCCGGGTGTGGTGCTGGCAACCCATCCCCTTGTGTGTCGTGCCGGCCTTCATAGGTGCTCGCTAACAGCACTTGCCCCAACAGTCTGGTAATGGTTATAGGGGGGATCTTTGTCTTTGTAAGTGTCTTGTGGTTGTTGTTTGACTTGCATCTCACTGGGATTTTTGCACACAGCGTTGGTGTACGGTGCTTTTTCTGGAAGATTTTGCTGTTTTTTCCTGTTTGCGCATCGTCACTTTAAGATGTTTTCTTGTTCATGTTTTTTGTTTGTTACGGTTGCACCCAATTCAAGAGCCGAATGGCTCACAGGGCTATACAAAATAAATGAAACTGAAAACCAGTTAGCACGCTTCACTACGAACCGGTGTGATCCGAGTTTGCATCCTGCTCACAGCCACTGACACCAATGACGATTACCTGAACTGGTCCTGGGGCCTCCCCTACATCGACCCAGCCTGATATGGATACCTGGTGCGATGTGCCGGGAGTAGTGCTGGCCACCCACCCACCAACCCACCCTCTCGCTTAATGTGCCGGCCACCAGTCGGTTAAGGGCTACGCTGGAGAGGAGGGAGTTGAACCTCCGTCTTTGTGCACGCGTGCAGCTCGCGTTACTTCCACTGGAAGCTGGACCTCTACGTCATCCTCATCGTGCTGATATTCGTCGTTCCCTTCTACATCGGCTTCTTCGTCGTCAGCAACATCCGACTGGGTGAGTGGTTGTTCGCCAGACCGGCTCACTCCCTCTGTAAGAGAAACTCACGGACTCGGCGCTAAAGTGAATCTATGTGCGTGTGTATAAATTGTCTCGCACCGTACGTAGCCAACCGTGCTAATCGGAGGTGCCGGGGAAGGAAAACAAACTAAACACAGAGCAGTCTATGGGCAGTGTTGAGTCTATGCTGCAGTCTTGAGTCTATAGGCAGTGATGAGTCTATGGGTAGTGATGAGTCTATGGTGCAGTGTTGAGTCTATGGGCAGTGTTGAGTCTATGCTGCAGTGTTGAGTCTATGCTGCAGTGTTGAGTCTATAGGTAGTGTTGAGTCTATGGTGCAGTGTTGAGTCTATGGTGCACTGTTGAGTCTATGGTACAGTGTTGAGTCTATGGGCAGTGTTGAGATTATGGTGCAGTCTTGAGTCGATGGGCATTGTATGTATGTATGCTGAACTTCTCTCGCACCATTCATAGCCAACCCTGGTAATCAGAGGTGTGGGGGAAGGACAACAAACTAAAAACTAAATGCCGGTGCCGATGAGACCCTCGGTTTGAATCCGAGTTTCAGCCGCCCCTCTGATTAAGTGGCATTCCTGAGTGTGAAGGGCCGATGCTTTCAGCCTCGTCACCAATGGCCGCACTCAACAGAATAAATGACACAGAGTCCGGATCTGGCCTTAACTTCGCCCACTTCCGGTTCTGAGAATTTCAAATGTTATTTCAGTGTCGCCTGACTATTTATGACTCGCTCTTAACGTGTAAGTTTTCGGCAGCCGATATCTTAATTAATAATCGATTTTTAGGTTACACCTGTGCACCGCGTTGGGTTTTCTCCGAGCGATTCAGTTTCGTCTCAAATGTGAGCACTCATGAATACAAACAGAGGACCGCAGAGCTTTAGCAGTTGTTGACGCCAGGTCATCGAGTAGCTGCCCGCGGTTCTATCCTCATGCCTCCGAGTCGTCTGCTGTTAACGGCGTTAAGCCCATGCTGCGTGGCACGTTACAAGTTAAAATTATTGGGAGTTTGCCTGTCGCTGTCCATGTGATCTCGTGGATTTCTCTCCGGGTCCGCCGGTTTTTCCCTCCACGTTTAGAATCGACGTCACACGTTTATAGAGTAATTTGGCTGCTCTAAATTCCCACGTAATGATGATGAGATAAGCCCACTTCGTTAAAGCTATCATTTGCGATGGCCAATTCGCTTCTGAAAAAAAAAGCAAAAAGCTTAGTGGGCCTTAGCTGGAAAAATAAAAAATAATATATAAGTTATACAGGGACTCCTCGACTTACAAACATTCGACTTACGAACTTTCAGAAATACGAACAAACCTGTCCGTATGTCCAGTTTTCCGTTCAGGCCGAGAGTCGTTCAACCGCCGTGCAATAGATGGCGGTGGTGGCATCTACATCTGCAGAACTTGAAGAACCAGTAGCATCTACATCTGCAGGAGATTATTCAACTTTTAAAGCCATTGCCCTGTGTTTAGTATACACAATACCCTACAACGTGTTCGGAATCGACAGGAGTAAAGTTGGACTTGCGAACAAATCGACTTTTCGAACAGACCTCTGGGGAACCTAACTCATTCGCAAGTCGAGGAGTCCCTGTGGTTTTATTATTATCATCGCCTCGCTATAATTGTTGAGAAAAGCTGGTTTTAATCGCGGGCGTCCGAGACCCGTATGTGAACCACGCGTCTCGGGCGGTGGTGCCGGCTCCTCATTGTCTCATCGTCGTCGTTATCATTGTCGTCTACCAACGCGGCCGTCGTGCGTAGCCTCTGAACCGCTCGGCCACCCCTTGCTCCTCACCCGTCCAATGTGAAACCGGTTTCTCCTCGCTAGAATTACCAAGGAGTTCCTCTTCACCAGCCTCCACTGGCCAGCGTGGTGAGGACACACAGACACGTGCTTTTACCGACCCTCCGTCTGTGCGTGCGCGCGGAGAGTCGGTCCCGTTGGCGGCTCGTCACGCATGATATTGTGTCGTCTGGACACGCGCAGCCGGTAACCGCTGAGAACCTGGCGTTCAAATCCGGGTTGCAGCCACCCCCCCGACTACAGCGATCACACCGGGATCTCATAGAACTCACACAGAGACCAATAGCCTCACATAGAGACCCATAGACTTACATACAGATCCGTAGACTCACATTGAGACCGGTAGACTCACATAGGGACCCATAGACTAACATAGACCCATAGGCTCATAGAGATCCGTAGACTTACATAGGGATCCATAGACTTAAATAGAGATCCGTAGACTCACATAGAGACCCATAGACTCACATAGGGACCCATAGACTCACATGGAGACCCGTAGACTGACATGGAGACCCATAGACTCACATAGAGACCCGTAGACTCACATATAGACCCATAGACTTACATAGAAACCCATAGAGTTGCATACTTGCATCGAGGTGACTTTCAGAGCGAGTTCTCACCACAGGCTCATACGGAGACCCACAGACCGCGTGGAGACCCGCAGACCACACGTTTACGTGGCTTCAGAACTGCTTCTGTTAGGGTCATCGATACGGACACAGTCAGTAGCGGCGTCTTCTGGCGCTGTGCTCTGACACAAGGTGGTGTCGTGCTCGCCGGGGAAAGTTCGACTGGAAGTTTCTCAGCCTCGTCACAACGCGGCCCTCGTGGCGCAGTTGAACGTGTCGTTGCTAGCGTCGCCGTCGGCGGCGGCCGTGATCCATCCACTGTTGGATGAAGGCCTCGCCCAGTTGAAAGAGGAGGAGCAAAGCCAACCGTTGTTAGCACGGGGGAGACAAAGGTGGCTGGGCAAGGTGCCCGCCACAGTACCGCCTTTGCGTGCCCTTGCGTCAGCTTACATAGGTGGAACTAAGATCTGTGCTGTATGTCATCTGACTGTATACCGTTTGTACTGTACACCATCTGTACTGTGCACCATTTGTACTGCGCCCCACCTGTACTGTACACCACATGTACTGTACACCATCTGTGCTGTACACCACATGTACTGTACACCATTTGTACTGTACACCACATGTACTGTGCACCGCCTGTACTGTACGCCACGTGCATTGTACACCGCCTGTACTGTGCCCCACATGTACTGTACACCATCTGTACTGTATACCATTTGTACTGTACAACCTTGTGCACCGCACCCCGTCTATACTGTATACCATCTGTACTGTCGCAGGACGTACATGAAACAGAGCCCAACAGCTTACTGGGCCCCTATTCTGCTGGAAAAAAAAATCTACCCTGTCAATCTAAAAGAACTTGCCCCAACATTTTGTGTGGCCATCTGTGGGGGGGGGGCTTTTGTCTTTTGTTGTGCGCGTGTTGTTTGAGTGCAGTGCAAAAGCGGAGGCTGCTGTGCTCCGTGTTCCTCTGGGTCACGTTCATGTACTTCTTCTGGAAGCTGGGAGACCCCTTCCCCATATTGAGTCCACGGCACGGTAAGCATCACCGTCATCATCGCCATCATTGTCATCGTCATCACTATCATCACCATTGTCGCCATCATCACCATCGTCGTCACCATCGTCATTACCATCGTCATTTTTAGCATCACCTTCACCATCGTCGTCACCATTATCGTCATCACCATTGTCGCCAATACCATTGTCGCCATCACCATCACTGCCACCATCGTCAACATAACAGAACAACCGCCATTCGGCACTAAGTGACGGCGACGTCACCACGGCGCTTGTGCCACGCTTGGTGCACCATCGTCGTCACCGCCGTCATTACGAACCTCCACCCCACCCTCTGCCCGACAGCCCCAACAGAGACCCTGAACTCTGTCCGCGCGTCTCGTTTTTTTACGTCCCCGCTCCCACGCCGCCCTCGTCGGCACAGGGATCCTGTCCATCGAGCAGCTCATCAGCAGGGTGGGCGTCATCGGGGTCACGCTCATGGCCCTGCTCTCCGGATTCGGCGCTGTCAACTGCCCCTACACGTACATGTCCTACTTCCTGCGGTACGTACCCGGGAGTGGGGAACAAAGAGCGGCGTCAATCGCAGTCACACTCGCTCCAGGCCACGTGGTTTCACGAGTGTAGAGTGATTGGTTTCACGACGAGGCCGTTGACACAATTTGTGTGTGCAAGGATCCGAGGGTCGACGTTAACTACCTAGCGTGGTATACAGGAGGTCGTGGGTTCGATCCTTGGACCCTGAAGAGGCCTGCTATGTGGAGTCTGCCTCTCTCCCCCTAACTCTCTCTCTATCGCCATGGTGGCTAGGAGATGTTAACTACCTCGCGTGGTATACAGGAGGTCATGGGTTCGATCCTTGGACCCTGAAGAGGCCTGCTATGTGGAGTCTGCCTCTCTCCCCCTAACTCTCTCTCTATTGCCATGGTGGCTAGGAGATGTTAACTACCTCGCGTGGTATACAGGAGGTCGTGGGTTCGATCCTTGGACCCTGAAGAGGCCTGCTATGTGGAGTCTGCCTCTCTCCCCCTAACTCTCTCTCTATCGCCATGGTGGCTAGGAGATGTTAACTACCTCGCGTGGTATACAGGAGGTCGTGGGTTCGATCCTTGGACCCTGAAGAGGCCTGCTATGTGGAGTCTGCCTCTCTCTCCCCCTAACTCTCTCTCTATCGCCATGGTGGCTAGGAGATGTTAACTACCTCGCGTGGTATACAGGAGGTCGTGGGTTCGATCCTTGGACCCTGAAGAGGCCTGCTATGTGGAGTCTGCCTCTCTCCCCCTAACTCTCTCTCTATCGCCATGGTGGCTAGGAGATGTTAACTACCTTGCCAGGTATACAGGAGGTTGCAGGTAACTCTTTTTCAGAAGTGACCTGACTATCACAAATGGTAGCTCAACGAAGTTGGCTTATCACCATCACGTGCAAATTTTTTTGCAGTCAAATATCTAAAACGCGTGTTGTAAATTCGAAATGTGGAGGGAAAACCGTAGGACCCGCACAATAATCCACGGGGAGAGAGAGAGACGTGCAAACTCGAAATATACAGCAGGCATCCAAGGTCAGGATCGAACCCATGACCTCCTGCATACCAGACGAGGTAGTTAACACCGCCTAGCCACCGTGGCGCCCAAGCCTCACCTCTTCCTCCATCGCCCATTCCCTTCCTCTCCCCTCGCCCCCACCACTCCGCCCCTCGGCACTGCCATCTCTATCACTCGATTGTTGTTACCATTTTTTTTGTCCAACTATGCTACAGAGCACCTTGAGTTGCTAATGGTGCTCTACGTATGTAAATATACAATCGTATTTATCTGTCGGGGGTTTGTACCCAGGAGCGTGACGGACGGAGACATCGCCTCGCTGGAACGACGCCTCCTGCAGACGATGGACATGATCTGTAGCAAGAAGAAGAGGTGCGTGGGTAATGTCGAGGGAGGGAGGGGAACATTCAGGCGGAGGAGGTACATCTTGGCAGGACCCTCCTGATAAGGAGTCTTGAGACTCGGTGTCGCTGGGTAAGCAAGCGTGATCCTAATTACAATAATTATATTTGGTCTGCAATCACTTCCATATCCTCCTGTTTCCTTCCTTAAATCTACCCCTCTATTTAAGGAACGAAACAGGAAGATTTCTCCACACATCTGGCTGTCGCCTGATGAAGCTGGTTGTAATTACTGGCGAAACGTCGTACTCAGATTGTAAATGTTGTGGCTTTGCTCTACAATACACCGGTTAGTGCTGTACTAGTGACGAATTGGCATGTTCTGTTTACATGACAAACCTTACTAAATTGGCTGTGTCGGGTGGTGGCGGATTTAACGACACATTTATATATTTACGTGACCTAACCCAAAGAAACCTGTATTATGGGCATTATATCCAATTCACCGAACAAAGATGAGGCGTGCGTGGGTAGCGTCTAGAAGCATCCAGCAGCATCTCAATGCCTCGTGTGATGATGATGATGATGATGATTCGCCGAGGCGGGCATACGACTGCTTAATCCTACTCGCGTGACGTAGTTCTGTTCACTCGATCGCATTACTAATCCAATTCACGTCATGAAAACAACGCGCGGCGTTACACAGGAGAACAGACTTGTACAATTGAGCCGGCGGCGATTTTCACCAAAACCGACGTCTGGCGACACGAGATGCGGCGACGCCGACGAAGTTGCCGGCGATGACGCCGACGTTGCCGGCGGCTGTGCCCGCGGTTTTTGCCGCTCGCAGGATGGCTGTGATCAAGCGCGAGCTGGTGCAGAGGGGAGGCGAGGAGAGGAAGCCGCTGGGAATCTGGAGCATGATCCGCAGCGTCGCGTCGCCAACGCCCGGCAGCGAGAGTATCCCTCAAAAGTCACGGCACCCTCACTTTGTGTGCGTAGCGAGCGCGGCCTTTCGATGAATTCGTTCGGCAACCGAAAGCCAATGCGAGCACCGGACGGACACGGTGTTGGATCCTGCAGTTTCCCGTCGCGACACGTGCCGCAGAATTTTTTGTACACGCAGCAGCTGGCTAGGGTCCCGTAGAGTGAGCGGGTCGCAGCCAATCGAGCCTTGCCGGCCACCGCGTCGGCAAGTGCCGCGACGGGCGGGGGCCGTTGCGCGCTCCCCCGTTGGTTCGCGTCAGATCCTTGACGACGGCCGCCGCCCCCCCCAGACCTCTCGCTTCTGCAGCAGGAGGTGGACGCGTTGGAGGAGCTGAGTCGGCAGCTGTTCCTGGAGGTCGTCGATCTCCACGCCAACAAGGTCAGCGGCGGCGGGGCGGCAGAAGCATCTTCAGAATCTCGAATTATTCGCGTGATGATGACGAGTATGCTGCATTTGGCGGTGGTGCGCAAGTAAACGTGACGTAGACCTCAACACGTTTCGTGTCGACAGCAACGCTTCGTGGCAGCCTTCTTGGGGAAATTGGACGACAGCCGCCGTTGCACGGGAATGTCGGGCACACCGTGTCCTCAAAATACTGGGCCGATTAGAGGAGATGGGCTGCCCCGGTATATAGCAGCTTGATTCACAACTATTTACTATTTTTTTATATTATCAGGTAAGGTCCCACCGAGAAGCGACCCGGCCAATCACTAATGATAGCTCTACGAAGTGGGCTTCATCATCATCATCACGTGGAAAATTCTAGTAACAGCCAAATACTCCAAACGTGTGGTGATGTTGATTCTAAAATGTGGGGGCAATACCGGAAGGACCGGGAGAAAAATCCACGCGACCACGGGGAGAGAGGCTCGCAAACTGCAAATATACAGCAGCAGGCATCGTCAGGGTCGGGATCGAACCCACGGACCTCCTGCATACCAGGTGAAGGTAGTTAACATCTCCTAGCCACCATGGGGAGATGGCCTACTAAGGTCCGTTCCTTCTTAGCGACATTCCGAAAAAACACCGCGGCACACCTGGGACTCGTACCCGCTGCGTCACAATGGTTGCGACGCTCCGATCCCGCTGCGTGTCGCGGTTGGCCGCGGTACCAGGAGTAATGTGATATCGACGCTTTTTTTTATTGAACTCACTCTGTCTGTTGTTGTCGTTGTTGTTGTCGTATCCTCAAATCTTGTAACTCAATTTTAACCCACTTCCCATTGTGGTATCGACTGCAAACTTGGTATACTTATGTCATACTGATGACAATACTATATTCTATCGTAAAAAAATAAAAAAAAATACATATTTTTTATATGCTATGTTTCGGCTTGGGTCTAATTGTCCACGGTAAACTGACGTTGGCTGTCATTGCCCACGGTCCCCTTACGTTGTGGCAAGCTCTGGGGCCACTTCCTGGAGTCGTGGAGTTCTTCCATTACTAGTACGGTACAAATTTCGATTTAAAGCTTTCGTGACTGCAATGATTCATCTTCTTTGGTTCTTTCGGTAAAGTCACGTAGAATGAGAATAAAATAATAAATTGATAAAATAAAATAACACAATAATATTCTCACGACGTTTCGACCACAACACAAGCGGCCTTCATCAGGTGAAGGGACGAGACTGTCTGGTAGGACAGCGCTGGAGTGAAAGAGCCACGTTCAGATCACGGCCTTTAAGCTTAGAGTCGCGGCATCTCTTCAGAAAGGTGAGAGACTCGATTAGTTGATGCCGCGACTCTAAGCTTAAAGGCCGTGATCTGAACGTGGCTCTTTCACTCCAGCGCTGTCCTACCAGACAGTCTCGTCCCTTCACCTGATGAAGGCCGCTTGTGTTGTGGCCGAAACGTCGTGAGAATATTGTGTTATTTTATTTTATCAATTTATTATTTTATTCTCATTCTACGTGACTTTGCCGAAAGAACCAAAGAAGATAGTACGGTACATTTCATAAAAGCGTCTTTTAAAAAAAAAAAAAATCATATGTTTTACTCTGTAGGAGAGAATCGCCTACTCGAAGACTTTCCAGGGAAGGTATTTCAACGTCATGGGTTATTTCTTCTCAATCTACTGCGTATGGAAAATTTTCATGGTGAGTCGTCTGCTTGCTTTGTGGTCAGAAAATGTTTACTTTGATGAGACCAGAAAATATATAATCTTAACATTGCAGCTAACCCCAAAGCGCACGTTTCAGTTTCCACACTCATTAATAATATTTTTGTCTAGCCGCTTGTTTTGGCGTCATGGTCCCAATTGTACTAAATGTTTAAATAATTACACCACAAACTACATAATTTTCATACCTACCCCGCCCCCCCCCCCCCCCGACTGCCAAACTACTTCTAAAAGGTCACAATCACATACACACAAAGTGCTTGTCGCAAATGAACCACAGTCACCTTGCTGATCTCGTCAAGGTGCATCAGCCATCATTACCCCAACTCCGGTCATCCTTGCAGCAGCAGCAGCGGCGGCGGCGGCAGCGGCTTTTGGCTCGGCCGTCGAACAAAGACAGTGGTCACCGCACCCCCCACGGCAGCGTGGGGGAGGCCCTCATCCAGCAGTGGATTTACTCAAGAGCCGTGCTGCGGTGGACAGCGATCACGTTCCTCACGTCCGCTCTGTCGCATGCCTTTGTCCTCGTGTGTCAGCTGTGATCGGGGCGGGGGGGGGGGGGGCGTTTAATAGGCCCACTCTTGTGTCTGTGATGTGTGTATGTGTACGTTGAACTTCTTACGCACCGTGTGTAGCCAACCGTGCTAATTGGAGGTGCGGGGGGAAGGACAACAAACTAAACACAACGCCAACAACCAGTTGTAAATAAATTAGTTTTCAATATATGTGAGTCTGTGGGTCTGTGGGTGTCTTTATGAGTCTATGGATGTCTATGCGAGTCTATGGGTCCCTACGTGAGTCTGTGGGTGTCTGTATGAGTCTATGGATCTCTATGTGAGTCTATGGGTCTCTATGTGAGTCTGTGGGTGTCTGTGAGTCTATGGGTCTCTGTGAGTCTATGGGTCTCTATGTGAGTATGTGGGTGTCTGTATGAGTCTATGGATCTCTATGTGAGTCTATGGGTCCCTACGTGAGTCTACGGGTCCCTACGTGAGTCTACGGGTCCCTACGTGAGTCTACGGGTCTCTATATGTGTATGTTGAACTTCTTTCACACCGTACGTAGCCAACCGTGCTCATTGGAGGTGCGGGGGGAAGGACAACAAACTAAACACAACAACAAGAAGCAGTTTTGAAGAAATGAGTCTTCAATGTAGGTGATGCTTGGCTCCCAGTGGCTTCCTAATAATTGTTTGTCCCTTGTTGATTGTTTGTCCCGTGGTGTTGTTGTTGTTTTTTAGGCCACTATAAATATCGTGTTTGACCGAGTTGGAAAAACGGACCCAGTGACACGTGGAATTGAAATCACTGTCAATTACCTGGGCATTCATTTTGACGTGAGTATGAGTGCGCGCTAGACACCCACCCCTCTCTTTGTGTGCCGTGCCCTGCCTTCGTAGGCGCTGCTACTCACTAACAGCACTTGTCCCAACAGTCTGTTAAAGGCTATACGGGGGACCTTTGTGCATGTGCACGTGTGTGGTTGTGTGCAAATGCCCAGCCACTGCATGCCCAAGCGGCTTATGTTTGGCCGGTATGGATCGGGCTGAACGGGGGCGGCATGGGCTAGAGAAGAGATGGAGTGATACGATACGGGAGGATGTGAAGCTGAGTGGACTTTCCGATGGCTGGTACCAGCAGTGTCAAGATCAGCCTCGTGAAGAACGCTGCTACTGGGAAGTTGGAGGCAGTCGCTCCAGCAACAACAGAGGGCAGAGGAACGACGCTCACAACAACGAACGGAGCACCGGGCGGCTAAAACGGAGACAGTTGGCACAGTGGGGGGCACAGATGGTGCAACTGCCGGTCATCTCAGTCAATGAACCCATGGCACCTTCAGGGTCTGTTTCATGACCTCCTGCCAGCATTGAGCCTTCGACACTTCACGTGACAGCCTCAAAGTGCACCTAGCCTGGCACAGGTGCCGTGGTGACGTCACCGCCACTGACTGGCGAACGGCGATTTTTGTTATTGTGTATTATACATGTACCTTCGTATATATGTGTATATATATGTGTACATTCATATGCATATAAAAAAGGGTGTGTGGGTGGGTGTGGGTTTAAAAATACATCGTGTTGCCCTCCCCTGTGCAGGTTAAGTTCTGGTCTCAGCACATTTCATTTATTCTCGTTGGGATTATCATCGTCACGTCTATCCGAGGCCTCCTCATCACTCTCACTAAGGTGGGGCTCACACAGACACTCGTGCAAACACAAAGACAAAGATCCCCTGTATAGCCTGTAACAGACTGTTTGGGCAAGTGCTGTCAGCGAGTAGCACCTATGAAGACCGGAACGGCACGCGAGGGGGTGGGTGGCCAGCACCACGCCTGGCCGCTTTTGTCTCCCCAGTAGAGATGTTTGCTACACACCCTACCAGCTACTCATTTGAGGCTGAGTCGACCTAGGAGAGGCCCAGGACCGGTTCAGATAACCGACACTGGTGTTGGCCTTGAGCGGGAATCGTGCACACACACAAATATCCGTGCACATGCACACACACAAAAACGACGATCTCAAGTGCACTGTTAGTGAGAACAACTGGCACGTGCAGACCCATTGACCAGCGTGGTGGAAGTATGGCCCAACAAGGTGGTAGACGCGTGCATGTGTGTGTGTGATCAGATTTGTGTGCCTTTATGTACGTGGGTACGTTGAACTTCTTTCGCAACGCGTGTAGCTAACCGCGCTAATCGGAGGTGCGGGGGAAGGACAACAAACTAGACATGAAAAGCAGTCAATCGACAGTGGTGAGTCTATGGGTAGTGTTGAGTCTATGGTGCAGTGTTGAGTCTATGGGCAGTGTTGAGTCTATGGTGAAGTGTTGAGTCTATGGGCAGTGATGAGTCTATGGGCAGTGTTGAGTCTATGGTGCAGTGTTGAGTCTATGGGCAGTGTTGAGTCTATGGTGCAGTGTTGAGTCTATGGTGCAGTGTTGAGTCTATGGGCAGTGATGAGTCTATGGGCAGTGTTGAGTCTATGGTGCAGTGATGAGTCTATAGGCAGTGTTGAGTCTATGGTGCAGTGATGAGTATATAGGCAGTGTTGAGTCTATGGGCAGTGATGAGTCTATGGTGCAGTGCTGAGTCTATGGGCAGTGGTGAGTCTATGGTGCAGTGCTGAGTCTATGGGCAGTGGTGAGTCTATGGTGCAGTGATGTCTATGGTGCAGTGATGAGTCTATGGTGCAGTGATGAGTCTATGGTGCAGTGCTGAGTCTATGGGCAGTGGTGAGTCTACGGTGCAGTGATGTCTATGGTGCAGTGATGAGTCTATGGTGCACTGCTGAGTCTATGGGCAGTGGTGACTGTATGGTGCAGTGATGAGTCTATGGGGCAGTGCGAGTCTATGGTGCAGTGATGAGTCTATGGGGCAGTGATGAGTCTATGAGCAGTGTTGAGTCTATGGTGCAGTGATGTCTATGGTGCGGTGATGAATCTATGGTGCAGTGATGAGTCTATGGTGCAGTGCTGAGTCTATGGGCAGTGGTGAGTGTATGGTGCAGTGATAAGTCTATGGTGCAGTGATGAGTCTATGGGGCAGTGATGAGTCTATGGTGCAGTGATTAGTCTATGGTGCAGTGATGAGTCTATGGGGCAGTGATGAGTCTATGGGCAGTGCTGTATGAATGTTGAATTTCTTTGACAGGTTACGTAGCCAACCGTGCTAATCGGAGGTGGGGAGGGAAGGACAACAAACTAAACACACACAAAGCAGTCTCTTTACCGAGACACCTGGCACGTGCATCTTGCTTTCCAAAGCATCTGGTAATCCAGAGAATACACGATGTTGTTTATTACTCCAAACAGTAAGGTCACGTTGCACGACTCTTGTTCTTTTGCAGTTTTTCTACGCTATCTCAAGCAGCAAGTCATCGAATGTCATCGTGCTTGTGTTGGCTCAGATCATGGTGAGTACAGTGCAGTGAGCAGGATATGTTAACTACCTCGCCTGGTATACAGGAGATCGTGGGTTTAATCCTGACCCTGACACCTGCTGTATATTTGGAGTTTGCGGTGTCTCTGTCACTCATCATCACAATGGTGAAATATAAACTACCTCGCCTGGTCTACAGGAGGTCGTGGATTTGATCCTGACCCTGACACCTGCTGTATATTTGGAGTTTACGGTGTCTCTCTCTATCATCATCACAGTGGTGAAATATTGACTACCTCGCCTGGTCTACAGGAGGTCGTTGGTTTGATCCTGACCCTGACACCTGTATATTTGGAGTTTGCGGTGTCTCTCTATCATCATCACAGTGGTGAAATATTAACTACCTCGCCTGGTCTACAGGAGGTCGTGGGTTTGATCCTGACCCTGACACCTGCTGCTGTATATTTGGAGTTTGCGTCTCTCTCTCTCATCATCATCACGGTGACCATGAGATGTTAACTACCTCGCCTGATATACAGGAGGTCGTGGGTTTGATCCTGACACCTGCTGCTGTATATTTGGAGTTTGCGGTGTCTCTCTCACTCGTGGTCGTGTGGATTTTTCTCTGGGCCCTCGGTTTTTTTCCCCTCCACATTTAGATTCGACATCACCACGCGTTTGGAGTATTCGCCTGCTGTAAATGTACACGCGGTTAACCCACTTTTGCTGAGCCATCATCTTTGATGGCCAGGTGGTCGCTTCTGAAAACGAGCTACACAGCTCAGCGGGCCTTACCTGGTAAAATATTTTTAAAAAATAGTTTGTAGTTTTAAACAGTTTATGCATACAAGCGTGTATGTGTAAACAGCACTGGGGATACAAAGACGGCCGGGCGTGGTGTTCACCACACCACCCCCTCATGTGCCATGCCAGCCTTCATAGGTGCTGCTCGCTAAAAGCACTTGCTCCTTAAGTCTGTTAAAGGCTACCCAGGGGATCTTTGTCTGTGTGTGTTTTGTTTGTTGTCTATGTGATTGTGCAAGTGGCTATTTGTGTAATCATTAAGAATAAGAATTTGCACTTAACTATGATGACTAAGCTATTGTTTTTAATGTTTTATCCAACACACTACACACACTACATACATAATGCACACACTACACACACCACTACATACTCACTACACACATACTACACACGCTATACACACACTACACTACATACATTGCACACCACACATCCACACTACACTCCATACACACACTACAAACCTACACACTAAACACGCACACATCCTACATAAACTACACACACACACACCATACACACACCATACATACACACTACACACCTACATACACTAACTACACACACACTACATGCACATTACCCACACACCATACACACACACACTACACACACCATACACATACTACACACACCCTACACATACACACCATACCCACTACACCCTACGCATGCACTCCACCCATGCACGTGCGTGTGTGTGTGTGTGCGCAGGGCATGTACTTTGTGTCCTCGGTGCTGCTCATGCGCATGAGCATGCCGCCCGAGTACCGCGTCATCGTCACGCAGGTGCTCGGAGACCTGCAGTTCAGCTTCTACCACCGCTGGTTCGACGTCATCTTCCTCGTCAGCGCCCTCTCCAGCATGGCCTTCCTCTACCTGGCGCACAAGCAGGCTCCCGAGAAGCACATGCTTCTCTAGCTGCGGCCGCTAAAGCGGCAGCAGCTGAAGTGGAAGCGGCAGCAGCTGAAGCAGCAACAGCAGCAGCTGAAGAAGCAGCAGCAACTAAAGTGGATGCAGCAGCAACCGAAGCAGCAGCAGCAGCAGCAGCTGTTGAAGCAGCAGCAGCTGAAGAAGCAGCAGCAACTGAAGTGGAAGCAGAAGCTCCTAAAGTGGAAGCGGCAGCAGCAGCTGAAGCAGCGGCAGCAGCTGAAGTGGAAGCAGAAGCTGAAGCAGCAGCAACTGAAGTGGAAGCAGAAGCTCCTCAAGTGGAAGCGGCAACGGCAGCAGCTGAAGCAGCGGCAGCAGCTGAAGTGGAAGCAGAAGCTCCTCAAGTGGAAGCGGCAGCGGCAGCAGCTGAAGCAGCGGCAGCAGCTGAAGTGGAAGCAGAAGCTGAAGCAGCAGCAACTGAAGTGGAAGCAGAAGCTCCTCAAGTGGAAGCGGCAGCGGCAGCAGCTGAAGCAGCGGCAGCAGCTGAAGTGGAAGCAGAAGCTGAAGCAGCAGCAACTGAAGTGGAAGCAGAAGCTCCTCAAGTGGAAGCGGCAGCGGCAGCAGCTGAAGCAGCGGCAGCAGCTGAAGTGGAAGCAGAAGCTGAAGCAGCAGCAACTGAAGTGGAAGCAGAAGCTCCTCAAGTGGAAGCGGCAGCGGCAGCAGCTGAAGCAGCGGCAGCAGCTGAAGTGGAAGCAGAAGCTGAAGCAGCAGCAACTGAAGTGGAAGCAGAAGCTCCTCAAGTGGAAGCGGCAGCGGCAGCAGCTGAAGCAGCGGCAGCAGCTGAAGTGGAAGCAGAAGCTGAAGCAGCAGCAACTGAAGTGGAAGCAGAAGCTCCTCAAGTGGAAGCGGCAGCGGCAGCAGCTGAAGCAGCGGCAGCAGCTGAAGTGGAAGCAGAAGCTGAAGCAGCAGCAACTGAAGTGGAAGCAGAAGCTCCTCAAGTGGAAGCGGCAGCGGCAGCAGCTGAAGCAGCGGCAGCAGCTGAAGTGGAAGCAGAAGCTGAAGCAGCAGCAACTGAAGTGGAAGCAGAAGCTCCTCAAGTGGAAGCGGCAGCGGCAGCAGCTGAAGCAGCGGCAGCAGCTGAAGTGGAAGCAGAAGCTGAAGCAGCAGCAACTGAAGTGGAAGCAGAAGCTCCTCAAGTGGAAGCGGCAGCGGCAGCAGCTGAAGCAGCGGCAGCAGCTGAAGTGGAAGCAGAAGCTGAAGCAGCAGCAACTGAAGTGGAAGCAGAAGCTCCTCAAGTGGAAGCGGCAGCGGCAGCAGCTGAAGCAGCGGCAGCAGCTGAAGTGGAAGCAGAAGCTGAAGCAGCAGCAACTGAAGTGGAAGCAGAAGCTCCTCAAGTGGAAGCGGCAGCGGCAGCAGCTGAAGCAGCGGCAGCAGCTGAAGCAGCGGCAGCTCCGCTCCTCGATAAATGTACATCCCGCTTTGTCAGTCCACTGCTGGATGAAGGCCTCCCCATGCCGTGCTGAGTCACGGGCGGGTTGTTTGACCATACCTCACCTTGCTGGTCAGTGGGGGTTGGTGAAGGGGGCGGGGGGGGGGCACCGGTTGCAGATGTCGCTCGCCAGGAATATAACGGCCGAGGCTGGGAACGGAACTCGGGCCGCCGGGTTCACAGCGCGGAGGGCGCAGCGCTAACCGCTGCGCCCTCCGCTCGCGTCCCTCCGACGTCACGTTTGCGCGGCGGCAACATTTTTTGCCGTTGTTTTATTTTAATTTATTTGGCCGGGCAAGGCCCGCGCGAGCGTCGCGCCGGTCCCGAGCGACGACGTCGGATTTTAAGGAGCGCGCGCAGCCACACCTCGGGGATCTTTCGTGACGGTTCCGTTTTGTCAGCGGCGTTTTGGTTGGTGGGCCTCGGGAGGTCGATGGGGGGATTTTGGTTTTTTTTAAGGGGTAGTGGTCGTTGTGGTTGTTGTGGTGGCGAATGAAATCTGTGGAAACAACAACAGCGGAAATAACGCTCTTGATTAAAATGGTTCTTTATTTTTCATACCAGCCTCTGCGTGCGTGTCTGTGTGCGCTTGCGTCGGGGAGCGGTGGTGCAGCGGTTAGCGCTACGCTGCGCTATGAACCTGGCTACCCGGGTTCGATTCCCGCTCACGGCCAACACCCAGTGACGATTATCTGAACCGGTCCCGGGCCTCCCCTAGGTCGACTCAGCCTCAAATGAGTACCTGGTGCGGTGTGTAAACATCGCCACTAGGGAGACAAAGGCGGTCGGGCGTGGTGCTGGCCACCCCACCCCCTCGTGTACCGTTCCGGCCTTCATAGGTGCTCGCTAACAGCACTTGCCCCTACAGTCTGTTAAGGCTACACGGGGGATCTTTGTCTTTGCTTGCGTCGGGCGTTGGTGCTGGCCACCCCACCCCCTCGTGGCGGCCTTCGAAGGCGCCGTTACTCGCTAACAGCACTTGAACCTTATGGCGGGACCCCGGGGTCCCGAATGAACGGAAGTCGAAATCGTTATTTATTTATTTATTTGGCGACTCCGTCGCGACCCGCCTGGCGCGGATCGTTCCGTTGTGGCGTCGTCCAGGCGCAGCAGTGAGGACGAATGTACAAAAGAAGCAAAAAAATTTTGATTTAAAGCTTTCGCGACTTGCAGGGGTTCATATTCTTGGTTCTTTCGGTAAAGTCACCACCACGTAGAAGGGAAATAATAAAATAATAAAAATAAGCCGTAATATTACGTTTTAATAAAATAATAGAAATAAAACAATATGCTTTATTTAATAAAATAAGAAAAATAAAACATTACGTTTTATTTTTATTACTTGCCTTCTACGTGACTTTACCGAAACAACCAAGGAAACACAACTTTGATTAGCGCATCGTGCAGAGCTCGCCGAGAGGGATACATTGCCGTGTCGTTCGCCTTCAACAGACGTAAAACGACGTCGCAACGCAGTTTGTGCGAGAGCCGGGGGCTTCTGCGACCCCGGGGTCCTGCCATGAGCTTCACTTGCCCCAGCGGTCTGTTACAGGCTACACGGGGGGGATCTCTTTGTCTTTGTTGTTTGGCTCCGATTTTGTCGAACCATAATTGAAGAGGGAGGTCCGATAGACCGATCTGGCAACCGCCGAGAGCCCGCGTTCACATTCACGTGGCGGTCGTAATAATAATTATTATTTGCCTAGGGGGATGTTTGGCCAATTATGCTGTGCTTTTTTTTACTTTGAAAGGAAATCTGAGAACCCGAAGGAAACCCATGCTGAACAGGGGAAGAACATGACAAACCCCACTCACTCACAAAGACAAAGATCCCCCGTGTAGCATTAACAGACTGTTGGGGCAAGTGCTGTTAGCGAGTAGCACCTGTGAAGGCCGGCACGGCACACGAGGGGGGTGGGTGGCCAGCACCACGCCTGGCCGCCTTTGTCTCCCCCAGTGGCGATGTTTGCACACACCGCACCAGGTACTCATTGGAGGCCGAGTCGACCTAGTGGGTAGACCAAGATTGGTTCAGATAATCGTCACTGGTGTTGGCCGTGAGCGGGCAAGCGCGCTAACCACTGCACCACCACTCCCCACTTCGACAAACGCGAGAGCATCGCACGCACGCTAACACACTGCAGAGCAAGGCAGAGAACATACGAACTCCACGGCAGAGCTGCTGCCGAGTCGGGAGTCGAACCTGGGTCCTTCTCGCTGTGAGACACAAGCGTCGGCACTGCAGCACCGAGACACCTCTGACGAAACTGGGTTCTCGTGTACACGGTGGATGTCGCGTGCTGCTTGACAGTGTCAGGAGCGCACAGACGTTCTCCAAAGGGCAGTCGCACAGGCCCGATATGACTGGCGAAGGCTCTTAGGAGTTATGGTTCACCATATGAGCATTCGGCAAGTGTGGTGACTTGGTGGGTGGGTGGGTGTGGTGAGTGAGTGTGTGTGTTGGTGTGACCTGCAGTGTGGTGAGCGAGAGTGGGTGGATAGGGTGGGTGAGTGTGTGTCGGTGTGACCTGAAGTGTCGTGTGTGTGTTGTAGTGACCTGCAGTATGGTGAGTGAGTGAGTGTTAGAGTGAGCGACTGGGTGGGTGAGTGGGTGAGTGAGTGTTGGTGTGACCTGCAGTGTCATGAGTGAGTGTGTTGTGACCTGCACTTTGGTGAGTGAGTGGTAGAGTGAGTGATTGGGTGGTTGAGTGAGTGTTCGTGTGACCTGCAGTGTCGCGAGTGAGTGTCGGTATGAGCAGCAGTGTGGTGAGTGAGTGGGCTTTAGAGTGAATGTGGTAACCTGCAGTGTGAGGGTTGAATGACACAACGCATCCTTCCACGAGCCCAGACAGACAGAGACACCTTCCCCTACCGACACGACAGGTAACAAAGCCGCTCGCCGCTCCACTTCCAATGTGCGGCACAACAACAGCGCTCCGCCGTGACAAACGCTCGCAATGAGTTTGGCATGTTAAGTAAAATCCAATCGTGTCGGCCACGTAAATAAATCCTCTCTGCTCCTGGAGCATTTGCTACCTTAGGCGGTACCGATTTCAGCTCTGGCAGACGGACTTTAAGAAACAACCGCGCGCCTTGTCGCTGAGCGGCACAATGGACAGCATTGTGCGCAGGTGGTGTGTGCGCGCGCGCGCGCGCGCGCGTGGCTCTCTCTCTTAGCGGACGCCTGGACGATTTCCCTCGCCGCAAAATAACAAAACAGTTCGAAAAGTAGAAGGGACGGCTTCGCAGGGAAAAAAAGAGGGTGGGAAGGGGTGGGTTGGTTGGTTGGTGGGTGAGTTGGTAGGTGGGTGGGTGCTTGGTGGGTGGGTGGTTTGGTTGGTGGGTGGCTGGGTTGGTGGGTGGGTAGTTTGGTTGGTGGGTGAGTTGGTTGGTGGGTGGGTGGCTGGGTTGGTGGGTGGGTAGTTTGATTGGTGGGTGGCTGGGTGAGTCGGGGGTGGGTGGGTGGGTTGGTTGGTGGGTGGGTGGGTTGTGGGGTGGGTGGGTAGTTTGGTTGGTGGGTGAGTTGGTGGGTGGTGGCTGGGTTGGTGGGTGGGTGGCTGGGTTGGTGGGTGGGTAGTTTTGTTGGTGGGTGGCTGGGTGGGTGGGTCGGGGAGTGGGTGGGTGGGTTGGTTGGTTGGTGGGTAGTTTGGTTGGTGGGTGGCTGGGTGGGTTGGGGGGTGGGTG